CATTTAAAAAATTTTAAGGTGTTTCTTTTCATGCTGAAAATGAAGCCAGTTCCATGTCCCCTCTAGGGCCATACTTTAAAATTTAGGAAACTTTTAAATTAAAAAAAAAATTTGATAACTATAAAGCCCAATTATTTAAACCCAATGTACTAAATTCAGCTTCATGGTAAATTGATCTATCCTTGGAAATATGAAAAGGTTCAGTTTGTCACCAAACATCAAAATTTTGCCCACTGCATATTTGATATCCCATTTGGTGCTGTAGAAAATGAAACAAATTTGGCCTTTGCCCTTGAAACCTATGTGACACTAATGCAGACTTAGAGGACTTAAAGCATACCGAATGAATTCATAGGTCATGTGGCTGTATTCATCTAAAAATTTCAAAGCACTCAAAAATTTAATACCAACTGAGAGAAATAACTTATAAGAAATCTAGAAATCACCCGAGATAAGTGATCATTAACCTGACAATAAGGGTCGCAAATCTTAACTCTCAGTTCATTTAGTCCTCACCAAAGACCACATTTGCTTAAGCAACACTGTTAGAAGCGTATCTCATTCATTAAACACGAAATCCATTGGACAATTTAAATAAACACTATTCAAACATAATGAACTTTTGTTAAAAAACAGCCGCTCATTACCTTTCTATTATAGCGAGATGAGATTCCATGCCTTCATGTCAAAATGGCACTTAAATTATTCAAAGTGTGTAAATGAAATAATTTAACTAAATAGGCAATCACTAAAGTTTTATGTTTCCATTCCCTTCTATTTGCAATTATACTTTAAAAGTTTACCCCTTTCTCTATCTGTCCTGTCATGAGGCTCTGACGGTCTCCAGAGAAACGGCTGGGCAAAGCAAGGACATTTATTTGGGAAGGACACCCCTGCTCTTCTCCCCGAAATCCTTGCAAATGTAACTTCCAGAGGACACTGGGCAATGACTGCTTGGTTTAGCGTCCTACCCAAGGAGAAACTGCCAATCCCAGCTCTAAAATAACCAAATAGCCAGTTATTTTTACCATTTTACCACTTATCTAACATAACACACCTTATAGCCAACTGCACATGAAATTTTAATGCTATGTCAGATTAAACTACTATTTTTGAAACAGAAATAGAGGAAGCTTTAGGCTCAATCTGATGAAAAGATCTTTACTTTCGATTCATTCATTCATAGCTATACTTACAGAATGCTGACAAAATGCTACAAATTTATTAACATGTTTAAATAAGATGGGATCCTTGACCTAATCATGAGGTACAGCCCAGGGGTAAATTAGGGAAAGACAATTAGGAATTCAAATAAATGTAAGAAAGTCAATGGTTCTCTCTCTTTTTAAAATAATTGTACTGTGTAAGTAACAAGGGCTCGCTGCTGGGTTGGAACAACTCTGCAAAATTTGGATAATGATATCCACTTTGCAGGACTGTTAATAATGAGTGAGGTTGGTCTTATTTACATACCGGGTAACTGTTATTTCTCTTTGTGCTCCCTGCCTTTAGCACAGCGATCTGCATATTTTAACTCAATAATCATTGACTGAAATGAGTCGAACTGTTGACCTAAGTCTGCTCTAGGTGGTCTTACGGTTTAGTGTATTCTAACTACCATGTTTCTCCTTACCTTTTTGATGCTACAGAAGGCTTTTTCAAGATAAGTCAAGAAGGGAGCCTGGGTGGGTAGGAGACAGGAATTTTCAAACTCACACGATATACTTAGGATCCCCTATGGGCTTGGTATAGTGCCAATAATCACTAATTATTATTTACATATCAGCACCTTTTACAAATGAGGAGTCGAATAGCTGAGACCAGCCCCCAGGCATCCTGACTCTATAATTACTCCATGGCCTCCTTTGTGAAAGTTTATGTGTGCTTTTAACATCACTTAATCTAAGACAGCTATATTCCTTGAACTCTTGATAGACCTGTCAGTTTCCTCAAGGGAAGCCAATGTAGCTCGATTTTAATCTCTTTGCATTGTGGCCTCAGCTATAAAAGTCTTAGCAGAGGTTTTAATGGCCAAGATGTAAGTAAATTTAACAGATAGGCCAGTGGGCGTTCTAATTACATACACCATTAAAGGGCTTATGTGAGGATTTTTAAAATTACTATTAAAATAGTCCACATGCAGTGCAATTTACCAGCGGGAAAGATTTCAGTGTCCTAGAAAAGGTTCATATAAAAAGGGAGCTAGGAAAATCAAAAGGCACAGTATTCAACATACTCGAAAGGAAGCGTGGCATTCTCTTGGCTCTTTGATCTCAAACAGGTAAAATGCTTTCTATTTCTACCATTGTTTTTCCTAGACTGTGACTGTCGTTGTCTGTCGATAGGGCATTTTACGCCCTTAGGGCTAAGTCCAGGTATGAGGGTGTCTAAAGAACTTTGACCTTCGCCGTCCTTCATACCCCTGGCCACAGAGATCCAGCCTTTGGGGACTGCAACAGCTCATCGACCACTACTTGATTTTGTCTTTAGCCTCTTCCCATCAAATGCAAATTAATTTGAAGACTCTTTGTGAGAATTCCACATGTCATTAGATAATTCGAGGCTGCCTTGGCTAGGGAGGCATCTGGTCTGGGCCTAAGTGATTTGAAAAGTGTTGAATTCTCTCTCGCTCTCACAGATGGTCCAGCCAGCACTAATGCATGGAAGACTAGTGGACAGCTACTCAGCAAAATGTCCCACATCAGTACCACCGTGTAGCCATTTAATGTCAAGGAACTTTCTATTAGCCAGAAATCCCTAGAAGGCGCTACTTATCAGAGCAGATGGCCCAATTCCCTTTATCAGAGGAATGATACAATTGCAAACCAATCACAGAGGGGAAAATGTTAAGACAAAAAGGTGAACTTGATAAAGGAGGAATCATGGGGTTTGGAGAACGAAATAAATAACAAAAATAAAAATAGACTAGTTTAGTTCCAAAAGTACTAAACATGTGAGTTTAAGGTACTGTTTTTGCCGCCAAGGGCTAGGAAATTCAAAGCAAGCAAGTGGGCAGTGTGTTTCTATGTCTGTGTGTGAAAATTGTAGATGACACCTACCTCCATCTTTCATAGGGTCAGTGACACAAATGTCAGGCCTTTCACCAGAGGTTTTTACCTTTTATACAACCCCATCTGAGTCCATGTTGATTGTTCATTGATATTCCTTAGAATGGAGCCAATTCCAAAGCTTCTAGCGGGACTTGTTCTGCTGACATTATGTGTGGTGGGCTGCTCCAGCCAGCACTGGTCCTACGGGTTGCGCCCTGGAGGAAAGAGAAATGCAGAAAATTTGATTGACTCTTTCAAAGAGGTAAGTCTCTCTCAGCTTCAAAATAAGAGGTGACTTATTAGGTTCAATGTAACTATCCTAACATTCTGTGTGCGTCCCACGAGTGCTGCTCTAGGATCCACCCTAGGTATTCCGGGGGTGTTAAAACACTTAGGAAGTCAAGTCTCATTCCTGCTTTCAATTCAGACTGGGACTAATGAGGCATAGAAGAGGAGCAATTCCAAGGGAATACAGCAAAAAATGCAAAGTAGTGAGTTGTACTCTGAGCATACAGAACTGCCAAGGGAATTAAAAGCCATGGGATAGAGCTAAAGTCTCTAGGGCAAGATGATTTTTTGGGATTTGGAAAGACAATCTGAGACCTTCTGCTTATTTTTTTTTTATCTTTTAAAAAAACCTATGATATGAGGTCAGCAGTGCATTTTATAACTTATAAGTATACTTATAAGTATAGGTGCATGCTCTCTAATTTCTTTTATATGTAGCAAAGAAGTTGGAGGCCACTAGAGTAAAGAAGTTAGCAAGTCCAAAGAGACAAAATATATACTGGAAAATATGCTGGATTTGATTGCAAATAAAGTAGATTTCAGTACCAGCATTAATAGAGGGTATTTGTTTTTTTCATCTAGAAAATGCGACTTCTTGGGGTCATATAAGGATTACATGAGCGAGTCCATACATGTTAGCGGGTTAAGCCAAACAAATGTTAGTGGAGTAAAAAAAACCTGTTTTTGTTTTTTTCAGTTGACAGGAAACAAACTAAGCCCTAAAGGATGAGTGATCCAGGGCTGGGACACTTCACATAAGCCTGAGAATGGGAAACTTAGCTAGAGAAACTTAAAACCATTTAGTTTTCATCAGAATGAAATCTCTCCTTTTGGAGAAATAATACAATTTAGTATGAAAGAAGCAGCCCCAGAATTTGAAGTCTCTTTTCTACAGATTATATGTAAAGCAACTCTTATTTAACTATGACATATTTAATAAAAACTAGAAAATAAAAATCAACTCTATTCATAATCGTAAGCTCTTGTATCTTTTGCATACTGTCCCCTCATGAGGTTAGAAGTACTTCATTCTCATCATCCCTAGAGAGAAAATCTCATCTGTCCTTACTGTCACCGTTACCTCCAGAACCCTATACCAATCCGTAAACATGGCTGATGGTAGATCTGTATTCTTCAAGTCCCCGTCCCAACCCTGCAGTTTCTCAGTCCCACACCCACCTTGACTTCATGTTCCACAGACAATTTTAGTGGAAATGAAAAATACCATTTCATGTCTTTATCTCCATCTCCAAACAAGAATCATATTGTTTTTCTTCAGATAGCCCAAGAGGTTGATCAACTAGCAGAACCTGAGCACTTCGAATGCACCATTCACCAGCCACGCTCTGCCCTCAGGGACCTGAAAGGAGCTCTGGTGAGTCACAGTGATAATAACATGATGCTTTAGATAGAGATGGAATGGCCCATGGGTACTTCCTCTTAGGGTGTCTACTTAGGGCAACTACTTCTCAGTCACTGCGAAGCTTCCCTTCCTGACTGCCTGATTCTTCCTGTGGTGAGTCCCTCACTATCTCACGACACCCCCTAGTGGTTAGAAAGCACTAACCAATTGAAATCACCTGTAATCTTTATCTACGAATTTTGGTTCTAGCCTTTGGGATGACAGACAAAACTTCTTCCCACTGCTCCTTGTCAGCTCTTCAAGAAGGTTCATCAATCCTCCCCGGCCCCAATTCTTCTCTAGGCAATCCACACCTCTCCATCGATTCTTCAGTTGTTCTTGATATGACATGGCTTTCCCTGGGAAATGTAGAAATTAAAAATGGTACTCTAGTTTATTTTCATTTTCCCTTTGGAA